TGCCCCCACAGGCGCTCCCCTGGTCCTCTGTGGGCCTCAAAAGTCCGTCAGGACTTCTTGTCACTCCTTTGGGTCCAAGGGTTCAAAATCTGTCTCGCAGGAGCCAGTTTGCTGATTAGCCATTTGCGTGCTTTGTTCCAGATGAAGTTCATTCTTTCTGTCACTTTATTTTTGGTCAGTTAGGCACGGAAAGGTAAAAAAAAAAAGTCTTCACTGTGTTCTAGTAGTGTGGTGGGTTCATGAGAGGCAGGCAGAGGTCTGGAGAGTGAAAGAGGGGATGCCAACAGCAGCCTGCACAGAGCAGATTTCTCAGAGCCAGCTGGCATTCTAGCAGAGAAAAAAATACAGATAAACAGTCACCAGATCCTGTGACTAAACCCTCATCTTAAAGCAGGAGAAAGGGCAAAGCTTTGGTCTCTTCAAGAAGCAGTAAGAAGAGCCATGCTGTCCTTTGGGAGACACCACAGAGGAGTCTCTGCTGGAGTCAGAGAGGAATGTTGTCAGAAATGAGTGTAACAGAGCTCCAAGGAAGCCTCTGTGGGAAGGAAAGGTCATGATTATTTTACTAACATTTTTATCTACTCCCACTCCCTCTCTTGTACATTTCTTGAGCCAGTTTTATACCTGACTACAGAGAAGCTCCAACACATGAGTGTCCCACGTAGTCTGGGCAGGACCACTTGTGTATTGCTGTCCTGGTTTGGGGTGATGCCCTGGTTTTGATGACTGGTGATGAAAGTGGTTCTTGCTGTATTTTGAAGGGCAGCCTGTATGTAGCAGGCCTAACCCTGCTACCCTCTTGACACTTCTCTTTACACTGTTTCTGGATATAGCATAAATTGTAAAGAAAATTAGTAATTTTGTATTCAGGTCTAATTTGAATTTGAAGACTGGAGTGCTTGAGCTGTTTGAGTGCAGGCTTTTAATCCAATCACAGTGGGAAAGCTTTAGGATATATTGACAAAGATGTCTTTGCCTGGTTACATGAAGTTTTTTGACAGTTGGTTCATCAGAAGCAGGAAATGTGTTAAAGTGTAAAACAAGACTAGCTGAATTCTTGCAGCATCTGCAAGGACTGATCCTCCATTAGGAGGAGTCTGAATTGGCTTGCCCCATGTCTTTCTTTTTGTGTGTCTATTTGTATAATAATAAAAATGATGCTGAAGTGATTGGGGCAGCTCCTCAAATGTGTGTGTGTGTGTGTGCTTAAACATTCAAACAGTCAAAAAAAAAGTTTTAGCTTTATCAAGTGCCCCTGTTCTTCCTTTTGTAAAGCTCGTGTACAAGACTGTGGTCCAAATTAAAATGTGTGTGTGTGTGCTTAAACAGGAGTGTTTAAAAAAACAGTCAAAAAAAAAAAGTTTTAGCTTTATCATGTGCCCCTGTTCTTCCTTTTGTGAGGCTCGTGTACAAGACTGTGGTCCAAATTCTGTGTTAGCTTAACTCCAGGGACTTGGATTTACTCTGCCAGGCTGCTTGGCCAGCAAATTCCCTAAAGTACTGTGAAATCAGTTAAAAAGGAACAGGATTTTATTGCAGCTGTACTTCACACAAGGTGTGCCTGCAGCAGAGGGACTAGTGAAGAGCTGGGTTGTAATGAATTAAGAACATGTCCCTCATTATGAGTAACCTATCAAGATTTTGTATTACACTTCATAATTTGTTGCTTCTTTATTCCCACTGCTAGCCCAAACTGAGTCTTCAGATGTAACTACAACTGAACAAGAGGTTTGTGTGTCTGTTCACATCTTTCCAGCTTTTCTTAAAAGCATAGCTGACAAAAACATCCCAACAACATCAATTTCAAAGTCTGTTGGTGTAGTCTGGAAAATGAGAGTGTGAAATGAACAGGTCTGTCTCTGTTTGTTGTGCAGGCCTGGCAGGATGCTGGACTGGCCCTGTCCACAACCAGCAATGAAGCCTGTAAGCTGTTTGATGCTGCTCTGATGCAGGTAGGACCCAAAAGTGTAAGAAAGTGTGATTTGAAGGGACTGCTGCATGAAACAAACCCTTGTAGCAGGGGCTGTGCTGGATGGTGCAGCTGTGGGGAAAACCTCAGCCAGCATGCTCGTCCTGCTGGATGCTGAAGAACCAACCAGTTGGGATCAACCACATGGAAATGTGGGGTTAGGAGTTCTGCTGGGGGCCAAACTTAAAGAGTTTTCCTGAGGGCAGATAAGGTTTGTCTTTTAGTCATTTGCCTTGTTTGCTTTTGAATTTTAAATGGCTGGGAGAATGAAAAGAAGCCAAATATCACTGGGGATTCCTTTCTCATTGTCTCTCTTGCAGTATGCAACCTGGGCCAATAATGAGAGCCTTGGAGGGATTGAGGGATGTCTCTCCAAGTTGAAAGCAGCAGATCCACATTTTAGTGAGTATAACCTTAACTCTTAGCATGGGCTCTGCTGGGTAATACTTGGTGCCTTGCTGTTTAACTTCCTTTGTTTGCTCAAGGGGAAGATGGTGGCTTATAGAATTCTGTGAAACTTCCTCAGAACATAGAGCAGACTGGGATGGTTTTGTGTTTGATAAGTTTGTTTTTTCATTTAATTTCAAGTCTTTTTTAATGGCTAACCTGAAAAGCCTTCATGAATTTATAAGCTTATGAACTCATAAGACTTTCTGGACCCCTGCAACAAGCCAGTCTTGTTTCAAATAAACTCCCCCTCATGTTTATGTGGAGATGGTTGTAATCTGCCCACCTCAACCTGCAATGTGCTGTTCTCCTCAGCCATGGGACACGTCATTGCCAATGGGCTGGAGCTGATTGGCACTGGGAGCTCAGTGAGGCTCAACAAAGAGCTGGACAGTGCAATGAGAATGATGCTGACCCTTTCCAAGTCCCAGCCACTGACTGAGAGGGAGAAGCTCCACGTGGCAGCCTTGGACATGTTTGCCCGTGGGTAAGTCTACTGTCATCCCATCAGTGAGGAGTTTTGGGGACCACAGGTGGAAGCAGTGGTTGGTAGGAGTGTTGCCTGGCATGAGTTGAGATCTAGTGAGGTGTCAGGGTGCAATGTCAGGGGTGGTTCTTGAATTTCTCTTCCCAAACTGTAAGCACCATGACTAATTAGTGAGCAGCATCATAGGTGAAGTGCTCCATTGCCACCACTTCATAGCATTAAGCACTCCCATGTTTTAAATCTGTCACAGATTCATCAGTGGCATATATAGTTTAAAAATACAAAGCTAAATATTTGGCTGTGTTAAGGTCCAGTACAACAACACAGACTTGGCTCCACAGAAGCAAAGCTACAAACAGACTTTCCTTCTCTCTGTTGTCTCCCTGTGTCAGCAAGGATTTCACCTGTAAATAGAGGGCTAGCAGAGGGTCAGCAGAGCTGTAGAGGCTCACTGTTCTTTTCAAGATGATGAATTTATGTGCACTGCAGTGTGGGCTAGTGATTCACTTGCATTTTTTCATTGTCAAGCAGACAGATGAGTTTGGATTTACCTCACATGCTTCTTAACAGAGGTGAAGAGGAAGCTACTGAGCCCTATTGCTATGGGTTTGATTCCCACTAGAGGAGAGGGAAGGTGTTTTTGTGCATGTGAAGTTAGATGAATTATGGTAGGTCTCTGTAAAAACTGTTCAGACCTCTATAAAATCTTCAGGTTCATGGTTGAAGCTCGTTTCATTTTCCTAGTGTGTTAGAGTGACCTGTTGTAATCTAAGGACATTTGTTTTAAAAGGTTTCCCAGAAGATGCTCAGTGAAGATAATGCCTTTAAAAAAGACTAAAAAATTCCTTCAAAGGGAAAAAAAAAGTAAATTGATATTAAATTTCTTTTTTTTTTAGGATAGCATGAGCTTAGAACTAACAGTGGGGACAGGTCTGTGTGGCTACTCTCAGCAATCAAACCATTTTTTTTTTTATTCCTAGCCAGCTTCCAAAAGCTTGTGATCTGTGGGAACAGATTCTGCAGAGCCACCCAACTGACCTGCTAGCCCTCAAGTTTTCCCAGGACACTTACTTCTACCTGGGGTATCACACACAGATGAGGGATTCTGTTGCCCGGGTTTATCCTTTCTGGACCCCTGATGTTCCACTGAGCAGGTGGGTCATGCCTGGGAGTGGGAAAATTGTTCTTTATTTGGTGGGCACTTTGTGGGTTTTAAGTTCAGACACATCTAAACAACAGGATCTGTTAGAAACAGACTCACAGCCAAAATCAAGGGCTTAGAAATCAATCAAACCTGACCATAGCTGGGACATCTTTCCTGTATCCCTGTTGAAATTGTTGAGGGTTTTTTCTTCAGTGAGCTGTGGGTCAGTTAGTGCATTTTATTGTCAATATAGCACATGGCATGTAGCACAGAGGGTAGAATTGTCCTCACTGAGGGCATTGGTAAAACACCTTTGGGCTTCTATGGGTCCACTTTCACCTGGGGCTCACTTTGTGGGTGACAGAGGACATCAGTGGGAGGAAGAAAGGAGTTATAACTTGGAATAGCAAAGAGTAGTTCTGAAATAAAACTTTGGGATATACCATAACAGCTGGTTGTGGTAGGTACCAAAGGAAGGTAGAAGTTTTTAAAAATAGCTTTAGTTCAATCCTGAAAGTTTCTGTTTCCCAAAGTTAATCCAGGATAATTTGAATCCACCAAGAAGTGAATAGTTAATAAAAACTAACTTGTGATCACTTTACAAATATTTTTAAGACCTGTTGAATTATCTGGAAGCTTTTAACATTAGGTGAAAATTATCATTATAAGTTGGGATATACATTTAACATTTAGAGGTAGATGAATAGATGATCTACAGGCAACTGTAACTTTCTGGATATTCTGTGTGTGTTGCTGTAGACCCAAGCACTGTCCCTCCCCATCCAGCACAATCTTGTCTTGTCTTTCCTTCCACAAGCAGTGCAGAGAGTACAAGGCTGAATGCTAATGAAATAGTGAAGCTGCCTGAGGGTACCCCACAATCTCTTGGCTCAGAGGGTAGTGTCAGGAGGATTGTTTTTGCAATTTAAGAACCCCTTAGTTCTTTTTAACTACAATATGCTGATATAATTTGTTGAGGAAGTAAGTCAGCAATTTTAACTGCATTTTGATAAACTTTTCTAGACACAGTGCTAGAAAAATGCAGGTGAAATAAGTAAATCAACTTTTATTCATCTCAATCAACAAAATAAATCAGTTGCAACATACCCCACATGTTTTTAGTAGTTCCTTTGCCCTAGAAGCTTGAAACCAAAACCCCAGCAGGTGTGTTGAGAAGCAGAAACACACCCTGTGATGTTTTGCAATCTAGGAATCTGCAAATACCATAGCAGTTAAATATTCCTTAAAATTACTGCAGCAGGTATGTGCATAAAAGCATCTCACATCCCTAATTTTTCTTTATGTTGGGCCTTTATGGCTTAATAGGCTTTGCAACCTTTTTTGAATGCTATTTCTGTGTTCTTCAGCCCCAGATTAAATCTAGTTCTGAATGGCTGATGTGTTTTTTCTTTTGCCTAGCTATGTGAAGGGCTATTACTCTTTTGGACTCATGGAAACAAACTTTTTTGACCGTGCTGAGGAGCTTGCCCGTGAGGTAAACTGCCTGCTCTTGGTGCTGGGAGGCTTTAGAATTCTTATACAGGGTTGTAGTTTGTGTGAGTGCCATGAACTGGCTCCATTGTTCAAATTGTTGGCAGAAGCAGCAAAGAGATACAGAACAGGACAGTCCAGGAGTCTCAGATACAATATTAATATCTAATGAGTGTTTTAAGCCAACTTCTGTTACATCAAATTGCTGAAAGTGACAACAAAGACTAAATAACATTCACCATTTACTAAGTTAAAGGCTAACCTCACAAAATGCCTAAAATCTAGTGGGAGTTGTTGGAGCAAGAAAGAGGAATTTGCTGAATATGCAGAGCTGGCCATATTCTTGAAGAAGAAATTATTACCTTCAGGGCACTGTGTCATGGAACATATTGTGCCTGGGCCTGCAAGTCTTTCATGACTGATACTCTGATATTGATGTGGCTGTGAAATAAAATTTCATTTGATAATTGTCATCAAAGCCTCTTCAGGGCAATGTGTCATGGAATATGTTGTGCCTAGGCTTGCACATCACTGATACTCTGATATTGATGTGGCTGTGAAATAAAATTTCATTTGATAATTGTCATCAAAGCCTCATTTTAAAGTGTTTTGGAGGTGTTCACCTCTATGCAGTAGAAGCTGTGAAGTCAAGTGAGCCAATAAACAGTTCCTTTTCTGTCCAAATTTCCTGGCTGTGGTTGGTTGGAATGGTACAAGGATGCAGGGAATAAAAAGGACTCTCTTGTTTCTGTTTGAAATTCATAAGCTTCATCATGTTTTCCCTTTTTTTGTTTAGGCTTTGGCCATAAACCCAACAGATGCCTGGTCTGTTCACACTGTAGCTCATGTAAAGGAAATGAAAGCAGAGGTGAATAAAGGGTTAGAATTCATGAAGGAAATGGAAAGCAACTGGAAGGTAAGCATTCTTGTAGCATCTCTGAAAAATCTTTTAGGTCTGTCCCCTCCAGCCAAGGTGTTGATTCTTGCATGCAGTTCCTTCCCATCTGCAGATGTGTTAGAAGCAATGCAAAGCTGACCTATTAGGAGAAACCATCCCTTGGATGTGCTGTTGTTATCCATGCTGCTTTTGAAGCAAGAGGCAGGAAAAAATGGCATATTTTAGAGTCCTCTGAGCTGACCTCACCCAAAGAGCAGGGTAATGAGACTAGAAGGATTATTTATTTTGTATTTTTAATTTTATTTTAAAGCATTCAGATAACAAGCTTGGAAGTGCAGGCAGAAAACCCTTGCATTAGATTCATATCTGCCATTTCCTAGAAAGTCTTTTGTCCTTTATATATGAATTTTAATGAATCAGTGGTGCAAGGGACTGACAGTTCAGGTGACACCTCAAAAACTCACAGTCAATGACTTCCTGGATCAATTTTTGAACTCAGTTTCTTAAAGTAGTTGCAAGCCACTGTGATTTATCCCCTTCATCCAAATCAAATAAAGGGCAGGATCTGTAAATACAATTGTCTAAGGTACCTTTGTGCCCAACCCAGTGTAGTTGAGGTTTGTAAAATCTGGTGTCATTAGGATAATGTGGAATAACCACTTCTTTTGTGCAAGATTTTGTTTTCATCTTAAATATCATGAACACAGAGCTTTAAACTGTAAGCAGAGGAGAAAAGGCAGGTCTCTATAAGGGCTTTGATATGAGAAGGTATCCTGGCCAGCTGATTTAAAGCCCTTGTCTCTTCTCTCTCATGAAATACTCTTTTGCTGAAGAAGGAAAGGGAAATCTGACTAGATAATGTTTAAATGGGAAATTATTGTGGAAATAATCTTTTCTCTTTTATTTCTTCCAGAACAGTGATATGCTTGCTTGCCATAATTACTGGCACTGGGCTTTATATTTTATTGAAAAGGTATGAGAGATTTTCCTATAAGTATTTTATCATCCAGAGAGGACATTCATCTAATGCTATTTAAAAGGCAGATCTAACATTTATAGGTTTTTTTTTCTTCAGCTATTTAAATGGAGGTATTTATAAAATAGCACAATGCTATTTTTACAAGCTGGTCCTTCATTGCAGTGATTTTGGGAAGTTTTAATGACATTGGTTAAAGTCCCAGGATCTTTGTTAGGATGGTGAAAAATTGCTGTGAGATTATTACATTATTACAAGGTCACATAATCTCACTAATTACACTTGGTAGGGTTATTTGAGAGCAAGATCAACTTGTCTCTCTAATTTTCAGACCAACATTTGACAAAATTCTTTTCAAATTCAGTACTGTTTTGATGGCCCCAAAAATTGCTGACTCTCTGAAAGAGCCAATAAGCTCTAAATTTGGTCTCTAATGTTGTTAATTATTAAAGTTATTAATTCTTATTCCTGAGACCCTTTAAAAATAGTTCCTGTTTTATACAACCTGTCCAGCTGCAACACAGAATCTCCTTGGACTTCATGCTTAGCACCTGTGGGACTCAGTTTGGTGGGGGGACATGTATCATTGAGAAGCTTTGATCAGAAAAAAGAGTAACTTTGCTTATTATTATTACTGCTATTATTAAGTGGAACATAAGCATACTGATTATTTAGCCTAGCAAATCTCAGTTTATCTTGGACTCCATTATTTCTCTTCATACCTCAAGGTTTCTTTCTGTTTTGACCAAGTCATGAGGCAGTTGTGAAGTGATATTATGACATGTACTCATTGCATGCATGTCTCTGGTTCCTGTCAGTCCCTTCTGATTCCTGTACTTGGGTGTTAATCATGCAATCCTTGTTTGCTTCTGCAGGGTGAATATGAGGCTGCTTTGACAATTTATGACAACCATGTGAGTAGGGACCTTTTTTTTCCTTTACTGAGAGCTTGCTTCAAAGCATGAAATGTGTTTTCTTCCTTGTCTAGGAGGTTGGAATCTATTTCAGTGTGCCAAATATGTAAACATGCAGCAACAGATGTAAACTATATATTTTTTTAGGGAAACTATTTCTTAAGTTTTGGGTAAAATGCCCCAAAGACTTGGATATTACAACATTACATAGTTCAGGTGTTTCTTACACTTGTGCTGGAGACAGCTACAGTGGCACTGTTGGTGCTGCTTGCCATTTTGTCCATTTTCAAAAGGATATAAAATAATTTTCTAGTCAAGTTACCTTTCCAAAGAACTGATTTTGCATGTTAGATGCTAAAGAGAAACAGATCTTTTCATTCCTAGCTAATTTATTATAGTTCTTCACTGCCTGGATTTCAAAGCCTTCTTTGTAATTTACCAGCAATATCAAATTACAGTGGGTAAAGATTATAAAAATAACACAAGCATTAAGAAAGCTGCTGGGCAGATCCTTATCCACTAACCTTAGCAGAATGAATTAATATTTATGGCACTATTCTGGTAAAAATTAAACACTTTGGTGACTCTCTGTACTTGTTTTTCCTCTTATGAAGTTAATATAATAACACAGATGAAGAAGTGTAAGCATTTGTTGTTGTAAATTTTTGTGTTCAGGAAAGATGCCACTAAGTCTATTGCAAAACAGGGATTTTTTTTTTAATGAATAAAAAGTTCAATTATGGATTAATTAAATTAATTGTGAAAGTAAGTTTTATTTAAGTCCCCACAGTTTGGCAGCTTATTGAATGCCTGTGATTACAGATTGCTCCCCGCTGTCTGTCCAGTGGAAGCATGCTGGATGTGGTAGATAACTGTTCCATGCTCTACAGGCTTCATCTGGAAGGTAGGATATCCATCTGCCTTGCTTTTTATTTAAAACTCTAAGGGGAATGGGTTTCTTTTTGCCTTTCCCCTTCCCCTTGCAGGTGGGAGAAATCTTTAAATGTCCTTACAGAACAAGCTGGGTCCATGTTACAGAAGAAAATTTTGTTCTTGAGAAAAGCCTCAGTGTGAAATTCATAATAATTATCCATGACCTTCATGACTTTACACTCCCCAAGAGTTGTGTGGTGGTTTTTTGGGAGGTTTGTTCTTTGTTTTCACAACCAGTGTGGTATTTCATTCAGCTCAAGCTGGCATAAGTCACAAATATTTGTTTTTTGGACAAATTCACTCCTGTTGTCCTTGAAGATCTGAGGCTGAACAGTCATGCCCTAAAAGCTGTGGTGCTTCCTTGAAGTAAATTTCAAGTTACATACTTCATATTTTCATCCTGATTGATACTGCTAGTAAATGTATATTAGCCTCTGGCTTTTGTGTACTCTCCTAACTCAGGGGTATTTCTCCTTAACTTTTTTTAAGCTAATGTTTGTACACTAGTTTGTGAAGGAAGACAACAACAGGTAGATGTTATTTTCACAGCATTCTGCTAAAACACTAGTGCTGCATTGGCTTTGTTTGTGAAATCCATCTTACCACTCTGTTTTTTGATTGCTAAAGACAAATAAAACCAGAATTTCATGTATTGCATTGTAAAATATGGCTGATAACAGTGAAAAAACTCTTTGCCCAAATATGTCAGGCTGGAGCTGGGCATTGGTGTGTAAGCTTTGCCACATCAGGGCATGTCTTGTTGAGTTTAGTAGAGATGCTGTTCATGCCAGGTGACTGAAAATCCATTGCAAAGGCATCCTTTACATGGGGTATTTTTATTGAGAAAAGTGTTTTTTTTCCTCTTAGGTGTCAAGCTTGGAGACAGGTGGAACAATGTTCTGAAGCTTACAAAGAAGCACAGTAAGAGACAGGTGGAAGAATGTTCTGAAGCTTACAAAGAAGCACAGTAAAGATCACATCCTCCTGTTCAATGATGTGCACATCCTGATGTCCTCCCTGGGAGCCAAAGACCTCAAAACAACAGAGGAGCTTCTAACAACCCTGAGGGAACTTGCCAAGTAAGTGAGCAAAGTATTCAATAAACACACACACCAAAACCTGACTCAAATAAAGAAATGTCCTCCAATTTCAGGGTGATAACAGTCTGGTTTAAGTAGGCCAATCTCCAGTTAGGAGATCCCTAGATGGATTTCTTTTCTGAGTTCCTGTCTGGAGGGGTTTCTAATCTTGGTCAGCAGAAATCTCTCATGTTTGAGGTGGTAGATACTGGCTGAACAATTGTGTGTGCTTCCTTTCAGTGGGTTCACAGTAGGCTGTGTTACCTACAATGAATAAAATATTTCACTTCTCTATTAATAAGGGCATTCTACAATATATGTCAGTTATCTGTGTTGTTTCTTTTTTGGTCTGGTTTAAAAGGTTCTTTATTAATAGAACATGGGTTGGTAGTGATGTTCTAATAGCTACTCTTTGATGTAATGTGAAGTACCTCTGCAGGGAATTGAATTTCAAGTACTGCTGAAGTAATAACAGAATATGTTCATTTCAAATTAAATCTGAAAAAATGGAATATTTAAGTATTTAAACAATTTTTTTATTCCCCAACTGTAAATTGCCTTGATTTTTTTTTAAGGGGTTGATAAATAGATATTTTAAATGTAATTTCTTCCCTCCACAC